CTCTCTCTCTCTCTCTCTCTCTCCCTTCTCATCCCTTTCGCTTTAAGAATGAAAAGTAATTTGTTCTTGTTAAATTTAACTTAAAAAATTTCGACGAATAAAAATTACCTATTCATTTCGACAATTTTTAAATTTCAAATTACAATTAAATTTTCATCATCCATTTGTTGTTTCATCGATAATTTATTGCATGTTATTACTTAAGGAATTTAATTATTTAAAATTTAAAGAAATAGAAATCAAACTAATCAAAATTCCATTGTAAAAAACTAAATAAATCAAAAATGTCATTGTAAACAAATTTAAATATTTAATAAATATGCCTGATATTGTTTTATTACATCATAATTAGCAGGAGAAAAATGCAGTAATCAGATAATCTGTAATCGGTAATCAGAAATGAATTCCAAGAATTCTTTTATCCTATTTCATACTTAACAAGTACTGATGTGTCACCTGTCAGGTCACACGTACGTCACCAACAATTATCCCTCATAGCGCCGCCTTCTCCCGTTATTCCCACCCCTATAAATCCGCCGGCATTGGCGATCGTCATCAACCAAATGGATCAGTTTGGACAGCTTCAGCCGCCCACAGCGCTTGCGTTGTCGGCGGTATTATTGTTTGCTGGAAATGTGTGTGTGTGTGTGTGTGTGTGTATGTATGTATGTATGTATGTATGTGTGTATGTGTGTGTGTATCTGTTTGTGTATGTGTGTATGTAACAAATTTCTGGTTTTGTTTTGTTCTATCAGACCGTATCATTTGCGCCATTTTCAGTCAAAGTGCACTTTTCACGGATTTTATGTATGTTATTCGTTTGTTAATTGTCACATCATTCTCATCATTTTGCGCTTATTTTGGATCTTTTCCGGACTAATTACATTGATTGAGTAGCGATGAAATCGGATAAAGAGAAAAAATCAGCCCTTTACTAAATCCGGAAAGTAAGAGTATATCAAAGTATGATAAGCTATTTATATTAATCCGGATGGGAAGTATATCAAAGTTGGCGAGCTAAATTTGTTAGTCCGGAAAGGGGAAGCATATCGAAGTATGATAAGCTATCTATTTTTATTAATCCGGGTGAGAAGTGTCAAAGTTGACAAGTTAAATTCATTGATCCGGAAAGAAGAAATATATCGAAGTATGATAAGCTATCTATTTTTATTAATCCGGATGAGAAGTATCGAAGTTGGCAAACTAAATTCATTAATCCGGCTATGGGGTATACTGTAGTTCCACGTATTGATTGATATGCTTTCTAGAATCATCCTTTCTTGTGACTTTTATTATTTTAGATTATAGCCATTGAGTTTAAGTAATTTTCCATTTGTATGATTATTAGTAAAGCATATCAATCCATCGATAACATTTATATCAAAATGGCACTGATAAGATCTCTAATTATTATCTCTTCTCATTCCTTCATTCCCAATCAAACATCTGTTTACTTTTGCATATTTCATCCATTAAACTTATCCACGGATAAATATTTAATTAATTATTGTTTGTTTATTTTCTAAAATTGAAATATCATCCTTACTCATATTCCTTTTTTCCCAATTCAAATATTTTAATTATTTAATTAATTATTTTCAATGTATTACTAATCATTGGTTAGAAATTTGATTACATTGTATAAGCGGAAGTTTTTTTTTTTCATATTAGTTTGATATTGTATAATAACATAGTCAAAATTACCAACTTAATATATTCATTTAATATCTTTTTTTTTTTAAACTTACAACTGTTTAGAATTTGAATTAAAATTGATTTACGTTTGTTATAACAATAACAATTAGTCTGCCAACAAGCACGTACGTGTATCTTATTTTATTGCTAAGCACACGTACGTGTGCATTATTTTATCACTAAACTTATGTGCGCATTATTTAAGCACTAAACATACGTACGTATGCATTATATTCTCACTAAGCACACGTACGTTTGCATTATTTCATCGTTGGTTAAACACGTACGCACGTCTTCAATATGTCAATTAATGTCAAAAAATTAATTGTATTTTTAAATGAAATATTTAATAATTTCAGGCAAATTCTTATGGCCAATTATTGGCAATAGCTAAGGCTATATGATTTGTTGGCTTAATATTGCTCAATGGAAAGAAATGCTATCAAAAATAATTAAGCAATTCAGGCGCTAATTACATTAGCTATCATCCAATCATTTGCTATATTCACAAATTTCAACTGGGAACTTTATTCTTCATCTTCCTCCTTTTTTTTCTTGGCTCAGTTTTGTAAATATTATTTTTGAGCGAATTAAATTAACCTTTAACCTCGGGCAATTAGGGGCTCTTATGCAGCCACCTGTAAACAGCCCGGTATTGTCACCGACTGTCGCAGTTAAATTGATTCCATTCTCGGTTCATCAACTACTACTACTATTTACACTATGGTTTACGGTCACATCTAAAAAAGGTATGAAAAATTTTCGTTCTTTCTTTTTTCTCTTTCCCTCTCTTGTCTCTCTCTCTCTCTCCCTCTCTCTCTTTCTCTCTCCTTATCATTTTCATCTCATTTTTTTTATTTATGATCAAAATTCTAAAAAAATAAAAAAAAAGTTACAACTTTGTTTTAGTTTACTGCAATGCAGAAGTGTTCATGCAATGTATTTCATTTATATTAAAATTTAAATTTTAAATTTTACTCCTATTATTAAAAGTCATTCCACTTTAATTATTTAATTGTATTTCAAATTACAATTACTGTTTTTCTACAAAAAGAATTTAATTCATCTATTCAATTTAAATGACCGATTTATTCCTACTCCTGCTATTGTTGTTGTTGTCATTGTCGTTGTTATTGGCGGTATTTGGTGGCACTGTTGGTTGTAGCAAAATGTTCAGGTATTCTCTAAATTGAGGAAATACATTGTCATTAAATGTCCTTACATCGTATATACATTCTTTTTAAATGTCTTTCATTTTAGGATGTGAAAAAAAAAATGAAAAGAAAAAGAATTAACCTAAAATGTTTATAGTTGTCAGAAAAATTGATTCTAATTATTAAAAGAATGTTTATTTGTTAACAAAAAAAAAGGGAAAGAAAAGAAAAAACTTTAAAAGTTTATTTGAAAAAAAATTTTTCTTTTGTTTAGTTTATAGGAAATTAAGAATTTTGTTCTTCATTTAATAATTTCTGTATAATTTTTTAAAATAATTTAAATATCATTAAAAATATAGGCCATTTTGTTGACATTTTTAATTTTTGTTCTTCATTTCTTTATTTATTCATGTGCATATACGAATTAATTTATTCATATCCACGAATTTATTTAATTCATTTACTCATATCCGCGAATTCCTATTCACTTAATCAATTTAATTCATATCCACGAATTCATATT